ACGTCAGGGGTGTGTGACCTGGGCTGTTTTCGTGTCATCCTGATCCTCTTCTGTGGCAGCACGTGGGAGCCTCCCCATGTCGTCTTGCTGGCTCTTGCGAATCGACGCTTATGGATGCTTGTAGACGCCGATCGACGCTGCCGACGATAAATCGGAGTTCTTGCCATCGCTCCGACGTCCATTCCCCGTGCATTTTTCGGTTTCGTGCGTGTTTTTTTTTTGCTCGATGGTCCTGGATGGTCCTCGATGGTTCTCGCCGAGAAAAAATGCACACGTCCGAGCGATGCCAAGAATTAGTCGACACTATCTCAGCGTTTCTTCCTCGACTACCGGAAACCAGCCCACGCCACTGTACGCTGACAGGTGGACGTTCGAGGACATGCGAGACCCCCATGCGTTCCTACTGGAGATCATCACCATCTCTGTTGTTCACCTCGCGGCGGGCGGCTGGGAGGCCTGGCCAGAGCCGGTGTCGAAGATCACCTGCTGCGCGTCGCGTGTCGCGGCGGGGCGCGGGCTGGGGGCGAGGAACGAGGTCTTCGTGGGCTTTCGTAAAGCCATAGAAGACGAAGAGGAAGAAGAGGAAGAAGAAGAAGAAGAAGAAGAAGGCGAAGAACAAGATCAAGCTTTCTTGGGTCGGCGCAGGGTTCTTGGGTCGGCGCTGGACACCCCCTCGCGCGGTGTCCTACCGACCGCGGATGGACCAGCGCCGATGCTGCACTTCGCCTCCCAGGAGATGCAGCCGAAAACGAAGGTGGGACGAGGACAAACTCGGGCGAGGGGAAACGACAGGGAGGCCCCGACCTCCCCGCGCCGTGAGCAATCGCGAGCGGGACTTGTTGGAATAGTCAATTCTGGCCCCTGCCGGGGGGCACGCACAGGATTACGGACCGTCAACTAGCCATCGTGCGACTACCACAAGGAGCGCGGAATCAGCAACGAGGGGGCCTTTCTGGCCACGGCAAGCTTCGGCCCCAAGAAATCCCCCGACGCACATCGGAGGAACGGCCAGAAAACCAGAGCCCCTCCTGAGCCAAAAGCAGCCTTTATCTCAACGTGTCGACTGCACTCAGGCTGAGAAGCTGGTCCCCCGAAGGGGTCCAGATGTCTGGGAAGACACGACGTCTAGGGGCGACTCGTGGCTGTGTTGAGCCGCCTTGGCGGCGGTCTGGGCGCTCTGGGGGCGGATCTGGGGCCTCCCAGCAGCGGAGCGGGCCCCCGGATCACACGTTTGTGGCAGAGGTTCCGGCCCAGGGAGTCCTGGGCCCTGCGATCTCTTCGGAAGTCTCTCGGAGCCCAGTTGGGGGCCTCTTGGGGGTCTCCTGGGGGCCTCCAGGGGGCCTCCTGGGATCTCTTGGGGGCCTCTTTGGGAGCCTGTTGGCGGCCTCGGGGGTCATCTTTGGGCGGAGGGCTCGAAGTGTTAGCTCGGGTTTTCTTGGGCCCATCTTACGGCCCTCTTGGGGCGTCTTCGGGGCGTCGTCGGGGCGTCTTGATCCATCATGCGGCCCTCTTGGGCAGTCGAGGGGCCCTCTTTGGGGCCTCTTGGGCAGTCTTGGGACGATTTGTTTGGAGACCTCCTGGGTCGTCCTGAAGCGTGTTGAAACCAAAACGGCGAACATGCTTCAAATACTTGTGCATTGCATTGTTATTCTTATTTGAAAAATATACAAATAAACAAAAAATGGTGGACTACCGGGGCTCTCTTGGAGGTCCTCTAGCAGTCTCGAAGCCTCGTGGACGCCTCCCTCTGGAGGCGCCTTAACGGCGGTCTGGGGTCGATCAAAACAAAATGCCTGGGATGTGGCCCCGAGGCCTCGTAGACGTATCTGGGGGTACTTTCGGAGCCCAGTTTGGGATCTCTTGGGGGTCGCCTGGGGGCTTCCCTGGGGCCTCCTGGGGTATCTTGGCGGCCTCTGTGGGTCTTCATTTGGGCCTCCCTGGGGCCTGTTGGGAATCCGACCCGAACATGTAGTGCACCCATCTTGTAGTACATCGTTTCCCGAGCGGCGTGGCCAGAAAGCGCCCGCCACGACGCATACACTTTAAGGATTTCTCGGTGCGCACGTCGCCCCTGGGGCGCGACGCACATGTTAAAGAACTATGTTGGGGTGACGCCGATCTACTGATCCGGGTCAATCCGAACCCGAGCCAGCCAGGCCCTCGGGAGCGATTGTGGGCGGCCCACAGGCAGGCAGGCCCCCCGGCTTCCACCGTTGGCGGTCAGGGGTCGCCACCCCCAGGACCTCGGGGCCCGGTCCCCCGTGAAATGTATGTACAGGGAAGTTTTTTATACATGGTATTTTTAAAAGTATATGAATTTTAATACGGGATCAATTTAGGAATAAACTTATGCATGAACTCCTCGTTGTTTTTAATACTGAGTCCCTGCATTGTTAATACATGATCCGCACGCGGAGCATGTATCAAAAACGGCACTGCATGTCCGTATGAAGATATGTACGTATGGCAAGGCATTGCTCCCGGGATTGCAGCGGAAAGGATCAACCTGACTGTTGCGTCTCGACGGGCCCGAGCCGTGACAGATCGCCATCCCCACGACTTCAGCACAGAGAGCCAACGTAGCTGCTGCACCCGCATAATCCTGAACCCTTCCAAAACACCATTTCTGGTACGTTGATGATGGGAATCCGTATGAACGAATGTGCGAATGTGCGCGGCGCTAGGGCGAGAATCACGTTTTGTAAAGGAACCGCCATGAACACGTGAGACTCTTGCAATGTTTGTTTAACGCATGCGCGCGGCGCTAAGGCGAGAGCCAAAGTTTAAAAGGCAGCCGCCCTCAATCCGCGAAATTCTTGTAATTGTTTAAACGAGTGTGCGCGGCGCAAAGCGAGAGCCACATTCTGAAAACGACCCGCCCTCCATCTGTAAAAATCTTGCAAATCCCACCAGCCCTCTGGGCGCACGTGGCCTAGAGCGTTTCCTTCTTCCAACCTCCTTCCTTTCCCTGCTCGGGAGGTTTACCCCCTCCCTCCCTGGGTCTGGAAAGGGGGTGGGGGGGGCGAGAGGTTAGAGCGTCGAAAATGGCCCAAGATAGCTCCAAGAGGGTTTTAGATAGCCCAAGATGGCCTCAAAGATGGCCCAAGATACCTCAAGACGGCTCAAGATAGCCTCCGACACGCATCCAAGAGGCCCCAAGACGGTTTCAAGTGCCCAGGTTCGAAACCTAAGGAAATTAATGGTGTTTGCCTTTTCGCTGCTTCGTTTCCGATGGGCTCTTGAGGTGTTCCAAGAGAGGCCCAAGAGGACCCCAAGGCGGTCCCAAGAGCGCCCACGAGCGCCCCAAGAGCGGTCCAAGAGGGCCCCAAGACGCCCCTTTTGGGCCCCCGAGGGGGGTTGGACCTAAATGTACTACCCCCCCTCTGTTCGAGCGAAGGGGTCCAAGACGGCCCCAAGAGGCCTCCCAGACCCCCCAGAAGAGCCCCAAGAGGGCCGCAAGACTCCCCCAAAGAGCCCCAAGAAGGTCCCAAGAAGGCCCACAGAGGACCCCATGAGGACCCCACGATTGCGCCCACATGGCATTACGAGTCTTCGAAGAACCCCTCACCATATGCTCAAAACCCGACTTGTCGTCCTCCGTGTCATCGTCCGTTCCTTCCTTGCTTCTTTCCTGCCGCGTCCTTGCTCCTCTTCATCCTCCTCGCGCCGCGTTCCTCCTGCTCCTCCTCCTTCCCCTCCTCCGTTTCTGTGTTTCCTCTTCCTCCTCCTCATCCTCCTCCTCCTCCTCCTCCTCCTCCTACTACTCCTACTCCTACTCCTACTCCTACTCATATTCCTCCCCTTACCCCCAAGATGGCCCCAGGCTTCACCAGCACCAGCAGCAAGATGGCCCCAAGATGGCCCCAAGATGGCCCCAAGATGGCTCTAAGGGGGCAACAGAGCACCACAAGCAGCAACATCTGCAGCAGCATCACCACCACCGCTACCACCACCACCACCATCATCACCAGCAGTCGCACGCGAGTTTAAGATAAACTTCAGTGCGGGGGCAGAGATCAAGGATGCATATGGGGATGCGACTCTCAACTGTGCGACAAGGGCGACGAATGATAGATACAGTCACCTGCGCCAGAGACGCTTACCACAAGGAACATCTCGGCGTATCTTGCACGGGCTTCCATCTTAAACTTCTCTGCGGGAAGCTATGTGTGACCCTTGTTTCTCGTGGCCCAGGGTGGATACAGCCACCTGCGCTAGAGACGTTTACCACAGGGAGCGCCACGTCGTATCTTGCACGGAGTTCCATCTCAAACCTCAATGCGGGAAGCTATTTGTGATCCTTCTTTTTCTGAAGACGGCCGCGCAACTTCATGTCTCCAGCTGTCCCTGATTCACCAACTCCCCTGCTGATCTTTCCTGGATGGGCTGTCAAAATGTTTGAAACGAATGTGCGTCGCACTAAGGGGAGAACCACATTTGGAAAACCACTCGCCCTCAATCCGTGAAACTCTTGCAAATGTTTAAAACCAATGTGCACCGCGCTAAGTCGAGAGCCACATTTTGAAAACGACCCGCCCTCCATCTGCCAAACTGATGCCAATGTGCTAAGATTTAGCTTCAGTGTCATGAATGGTGAGGAAGTGTCAGGCGAAACGCCTGGCCCGCCCTAAAAAGTGGCCTCGGGGTGCGACAGGAAGAAGTTACTTATAAGGAATAGAAATGGAGGAGGAGAAGGGGAGGAGACGGAGGAGGAGCGAGGAGAGGAAGGACGACGAGGAGGAGGAGGGAGGAGGAGGAGAAGGGAGGAGGAGGAGGAGGAGGAGGAGGAGGAGGAGGTTAATGAGGAGGAGGGGACGAGGAGGAGAGGAGGAGGAGGAGGAGAAGGAGGAGGAGGTAGGAGGGACGAGGAGGGAGGAGGAGGAGGAAGAGGAGGAGGAAGAGAAGGAGGAAGAGGAGGAGGAGGAGGAGGAGAGAGGAACGCCACAGTGCGGGAACCAGCGTACAGCGCAGGGCCCAGCGAGCGTGCCCGCGCCCCCAAATCAGGCGTCCTCGGCGCCCGCCCCGGCCTGCGGCGTGGGAAGCGCCGAGCGGCCGCCGGTGCCCGGGTACAGCGCGAACGCGCTCCCGTCCTGAAGAGTTGGTTGACCCAAAAACAGAAGCCGGGCGAAGGCAGGCAAACCCGTGGCTGCCAAAACGGAGCTCCGGGAGATTGTTTTTTCTCTTCCGGGCAGCAGCCCGTTTACTAGTTCGTGCGCTGAATTTCTTCCAGGAATTCGTTTTGTCTCTTCCAGAAGACAGTTTTAGCAGCCACGGATTTGCCAGCCCTCGCGCAGCTTCCGACAAAAGGGGGTCCAGCTGAGAGGGGGTTGTGCACTAGATGTGGGACAATAGTATTGCAAATGCATGCGCCAAAGATCTGTGTTGCTTAGTATTGCACCTAATGTACTGCACGCGAGAGTCCATCCAGCAGTACATTTGCGAACCGGAACGGGTTGCACGCCCCAAACCTATTCTATTGCAACCCCACCAATATATTGCACCAAATCTATTGCACCACCCCCTCTCAGCTGGACACACTTTTGGGTCATCCAGAGAAGAGCAACGAAAGCCATCACGATCCCGGGCCCCCTCGAGACATGAAAAATTAGCCTGGCGAAGGACCCAACCATATGCAGTTGTGAGCAATGCTGGTGTGAGTACCGTCTTCGGTGGATCTCCCAATGGGGCCACGAACCGTTTGAGGGGTGTGCCGAAATGGGTGTGGGGGCGGCATGCGAACGTTGCCACTGGGGCCTTCGGTGGAGCTCCTTATGGGGCCACGAAACGTGTGAGGGGTGCACCGAAGTTGGTGTGGGGGCGGCATGCGAACGCAGCCACTGGGGCCTTCGGTGGAGCTCCCTGTGGGGCCACGAAACGTGTGAGGGGTGTGCCGAAATTGGTGTGGGGGCGGCATGCGAACGCAGCCACTGGGGCCTTCGGTGGAGCTCCCTATGGTGCCACGAAACGTGTGAGGGGTGTGCCGAAATGGGTGTGGGGGCGCATGCGAACCCAGTCACTGGGGCCTTCAGTGGAAATCCCCATGGGGCCACGAAACGTGTGAGGGATGTGCCGAAATGGGTGTTGGGGAGGCATACGAACCAGGCCACTGGGGCCTTCGGTGGAGCTCCCTATGGGGCCACGAAACGTGTGAGGGGTGTGCCGAAATGGGTGGTGGGGAGGCATGCGGACCCTGCCACTGGGGCCTTCGGTGGAGCTCCCTATGGGGCCACGAAACGTGTGAGGGGTGTGCCGAAATGGGTGGTGGGGAGGCATGCGAACCCTGCCACTGGGGCCTTCGGTGGAGCTCCCTATGGGGCCACGAAACGTGTGAGGGGTGTGCCGAAATGGGTGGTGGGGAGGCATGCGGACCCTGCCACTGGGGCCTTCGGTGGAGCTCCCTATGGGGCCACGAAACGTGTGAGGGGTGTGCCGAAATGGGTGGTGGGGAGGCATGCGGACCCTGCCACTGGGGCCTTCGGTGGAGCTCCCTATGGGGCCACGAAACGTGTGAGGGGTGTGCCGAAATGCATGCGGACCCTGCACTGGGGCCTTCGGTGGAGCTCCTTATGGGGCCACGAAACGTGTGAGGGGTGTGCCGAAATCGGTGGTGATGATGATGATGATGATGATGATGATGATGATGATGATGATGATGATGATGATGATGATGATGATGATGATGATGATGATGATGATGGGAGGAGGGAGGGGGGGGGAGGAGGAGGAGGTGAGGAACGCGGGGCGCCGTCTCTTCAAAACGAGGACCCAACACCACAGGATGGTTGGGAAAAACACGGCGGGGCGTATTTCACCATGTGCTGAGGCCCGGTATACCGGGCCTCAGCACCGTCAAACAAACCAACTCGGGATGACGAGCGGGGAACAGAACTCCGGGGGTCGCCGTTAGTAAGTTAGGAGAACATCGGGACATCGGAGCTCTTGGCGAAAGCCGGCGCAGCCACAACTCCAGGTCTCCGAAGACATGACTCTGTTCAATCCCGGCGCTTTCTGACTCGGGCCCTGGGATCGTCCGAGACGGACAAAGGCCGAAGAGGTCCCCCTGAGGAGAGGTCGGGACCTCTTGGTGCGCTCCCGTCGTGGAGCAACAACAACTGGCACGACAAGAATTGCCATGTGCGTTCTGGGGGGCTTACTTTCTGGAGCCATTCGCTCCACTCATTCGCCGATGCTACGTCGAACGCCCGTGGGCGTAAGTCCAACTTGGGTCAGACTGAAGTCGAGCTGCGACCTAGAGTCGAAAGTGGAGTCGAACAGATATGTTAGATGGGCCCCACGAATGTTCCAAAACAAGAGTATGACATGAACATATTGCTTCGAGCCACAAGAAAACGCGAGGCGGGATACCCAAGGAGCATTGGAACCAGGACCCGTGGGGCTCTGGCGGCCGCGACAGGCAGCCGTCGCTCATCGAAGACGCGAGGCGGGACCCCCCGGGAGCACCAGGATCCTTGGGGCCGGGCGGACGCGGCATGCAGGGTGTGCAAAGCAGATCGGGAGCACTTCTCTTCACTTACCAAAGCAGGCAGGATTGGGAATGTGAACCCTGCGGCACAAGGCCCTTCGGCAGTCTCGTGTCGAGACGACCCTGGCGCTGGTTCCTGGCGCCGCGCGGATAGTTCAACCTCGAGAGATCGGAGGCTCTTCGATCCCGAGATCGTTCCACATTTGCCGATTCTGGGCCGCTCGCGGCGTTCAACCTTGAACGCCCGCAGCGGGGTCGCCGCCGCGTCGACACGACGCGCAAGCCTGCCGCAAAAAGCTTCGAACAGTTCACGATAGAGGGGGCCACGATGAGCCATCGATCTCGGGGGCCCAACATCCCTCACCGGGCGTTGGCAAAAGTCTTGGGGAAACGAAGAAGTACTGCTACCATTACCCCCCAGACCCCTCCCCGGGTGCGTTCTGACCACGATTTCGAAACCGACTCTAGCCGTGGTGGCGAGGGCCTCCCAGGAGACCCAAAGAGGGGAAAACGGGGGAAGGGCCTCCCAGGAGACCCAAGAAGGGCCTCCCAGGTACCTCCTCCTCCTCCTCCTCCTCCTCCTCCTGATCCTGATCCTGATCCTGATCCTGATCCTGATCCTCCTCCTCCTCTTCCTCCCCTGCAGGAATTGTATGTAGAACTCTTGCGGCCAGCCGAGCGCGGGCCTCTCGTATCCAGGGGCGCCCCGAGAGCGCGCTCTCCGCGCCCCCAGAGCACGCGCCAGCCCCCACGCGCCAGAGGCGAGGCGCCGCCCGGGAAGGGGGCGAGCGCAGGTTCGGAAAACCCGCGCGGGCCCCCGAGAGCTTCCAGGCGCAATGATAGGGGGGGGGGGGGGGGGAACGGCATTGAGTCGGGCCTGTCCCCCTAAAGGGGAATTTTCGACGAAAAATAAAAACTACTCTCAGAATAATCAAAGAATGCTCCAAAAATAAACTGGGTACTATTTTTCAGTATGTTTTAACCTTTTTGGGGCATTTTTGGCGTTTCTTGTTTTTCGCCGAAAATCCCCCTGTAGGGGGACACGCCCGACATAAGACTGGCACAAGGGGGGGTGCATCGACCTCGAACTGGCGATACATCGCCGATAGATCGGCGATAAGCCCCAGATAGTGCATCCGCACCTTCTCTGGCGGGTCGGGGCTATCAGACCCCTCTCGGCGATCAATGGGCGGTAGGGAGTCGATGCATCCCCCCTGTGCATACCCCCCTATCGTTGCCCTTGAAGTTCATGGTTCATGTAAGATGACGACTATACAAACACATCCAGGGGAACGGTTTACACAAAAAATCATAAGCTTGGGCTTTCGATTCACTTCGGCTCCGTCTGGCCCGCCTGCTGTCCAGGCGACAGCCCGAGGAGGGCGGGGGGGGAACAACTAAAAAAAGTAGTTTCCCGGCTGGGGGACCGTTTTCCTAATCGTCATCCAGGGCGCCACCATCTCTGAATGATCCTCCTGCAGTATGCCTACGTCTGTTCTTTGGCGACCCCAGAGATCCGCTTGATTGCCGGAATCTCTGGAGGCACCGACTCCCTCACTCGGCATGGCTTTCCACCCCGAGTCGGTTTGCTGCGGTCCCGAGGCCTGGCGAGAACGGCGAAAAACCCCACGGCCCAGCCCGAGTTCGTCGACGGGCCTCTGGAGGCCGACGACGGCGACAGAAAACCTCGGCGTGGACCTTTCCCTACGCTGCAGGCCTCCACAGCAGCATCGCCAACAAAAATCACGATCCGAGCCCTGGGCCCCATCATCTCTCTGCGGCAGTTCCTCGAGATGGATCGATATGTGATGGCCTCGGGGTCAGAAACATGCTCCTCCTCCTTCTCCTCCTCCACCACTGATACTGCTACTCCCCAGACCTCTCCCGGGGTGCGTTCTTGCAAGAATTTCGAGGCGAACCCAGCGGTGGCGACGAGGGCCTCCCAGGAGGCGGAAAACAAGTGAATACGGGCGAAGGGTAGCAGGATCGGTACCTCTTCCTCCTCCAACCAGGAAAAAGTACCCAAATCTACAAAAATGCAGCGCCCTACTTGAAGCGTCCGGCAGGTACTCCACGGCGGAGGGGTGCGGCGTGCCAGTGTACGCGGCCGAGATCAGCGTGTCCTGATGGGCAACGGCAGGGGGCGACTGCAAGACGAAGACAGGACGATGCTGAAATAGGATTCGCCGAAGGATTAAGAATCCGTCCGAAAAAGCCCATCGGACCCAGAGGCAGCGTCCGCATGGCATCACCGCGCTCCTTTTGGCACCCCTCTCACACGTTTCGTGGCCCCAAGGGGAGCCCCACCAAAGACGACACTCACAACCGCGGCACTCACAACTGCAGCGGGAAGGGTCTTTCGCGGCACTCACAACTGCACAATTATGGTGGGGTCCTTCGCCAGGATGAGGATGATGTCACGATGTCTCAAGTCGTTGGAGGTCTGGGGATCCAACCGAAAACGCCCATTGGACAGAGATGGGCCCTGCGCGGCGCGGCGGGGGCTACACAGGAACAAGGAAAGGCGACACCAGCAAAACCAGGACGAGGAGATGCAAGGAGGCAAGGGGGGTCTCCCTGCGCCGCAGACCCCCCCTCGGGATTGCAAACTTATTCCTTTGGTCGGGCGGGCGGGCGGGACATTAAATGCATTGATTGCTTTCGTGGCGGATTACAAAGTGATTCCATTTGGCAGCGGATTGCAAGTTGATTACTATTATGGCGGATTACAAGCTGATTCCTTTTGTCCGGCGGGCGGGCGGGACATTAAAGGCATTGCTTGCTTGTGTGGCGGATTACACATACTGAAGGCCCTAGGCTTCCCAAGGATATGCCCTACTGGACACCCTAGGGTAGCCCTAGGGTACCCCTAGGGGTAGGCCCCAGAGGTAGCCCTAGGGTAGCCCTAGGGGTAGGCCCTAGGGTAGCCCTAGGGTAGGCCCTAGGGGTAGGCCCTAGGGGTAGCCCTAGGGTAGCCCTAGGGGTAGGCCCTAGGGGTAGCCCCAGGGTAGCCCTAGGGGTAGGCCCTATGGTAGCCCTAGGGTAGCCCTAGGGGTAGGCCCTAGGGGTAGCCCTAGGGTAGCCCTAGGGGTAGGCCCTAGGGGTAGCCCTAGGGTAGCCCTAGGGGTAGGCCTAGGGGTAGCCCTAGGGTAGCCCTTCCTTGGGTGATCTATAAGCCCTGGTGGTGTGGTCCCCCCCCCCGCCCTCTCGCTCGAGACAACCACGGCCTCCAGCTCGGAGAGGCATCGAGGACATCCTTGGAGGTGGGCCCCCCCCCCTGGTGGCGGTGTCGGAGAAGAGGAGGAGGAGGAGGAGAAGCAGGAGGAGGAGCAGGAGGACAAGGAGGACGACGAGGAGGAGGAGGAGCAGGCGGAGGAGGAGCAGGAGGACGAGGAGGACGACGAGGAGGAGGAGAAGGACGACTCTTTCCTCCTCGGAGTCCCAGCCCCCTCCGGGACTGGCTCGGGAAGGAAAACATCGACCTGGAGCCGCCATATGACCTCCTCCTCCTCCTCCTCCTCCTCCACCTCCTCCTCCGCCTCCTCCTCCTCCTCCTCCTCCTCCTCCTCCTCCTCCTGCGAGATAGGCCCTCAGCAGCGAATTTTCGGACGCGGACGCTCCGGGGCAGGGGGCTGCGCCGTCGGGCCCCCGTCGGCGATGACTGGGCGGCTGGGAGGCCGACGCCTCTTCCCCCGAGCCCCCACCCCCTCCCCCTCCCCCTCCCCTGCCCCTCCTCCCCCTCCCCCTCCTGCCCCTCCCCCCCCCCCCCCGCACTCACCCTCCTCTCCTGCCCCTCCTCCCCCTCCCCTCCCCCTCCTCCTCCCCCTCCTCCTCTCCTCCTCCCCCTCCTCCCCCTCGTGACCCTCGTCGTCGAGTCTTCGGACCACAGCTCGGTCTCTGGCGGCCGCTCGGCACGACCCGGGCACCCCCGGAACGCCCTCGACGGGGCGCAGCGGGTGGAGACCGCCCCAGCCCCCCCCTTTCTTGCGTTGCCCGCGAGTCCCCGAGAATCAGCCGGCCGTCGCACCGGTGGTGCACCCTGCCGTCGGCCTGAGCGGTGTGGCCGACGACCATGCGCGCGGCGCCGAAGGCGTCGAGACTCCGCTGCAGCTCCGCGCACGCGCCCCGCGCGCCCTGCGTGGAGCCGAGCGCCAACCTCGGGAGGCGACTTCCAGCACTGTAAGCATCGTGCTGCCACAGGGAGCGCCAAAGAAGGAACAAGGGGGCCTGCCTGGCCACGGCGAGCCCCGGCCACGGACAGTTCCCCCGACCTGGATCAAAGGGAGGGCCCGAACACCAGAGCCCGTCCTGAGCCCGAGGTGGTCCTTACTTCGACGCCTCGAGTGCAGAAAACCATAACAACTGCATAAACACACACACACACACGCACACTCTCGGAGCTCCGCGCGAATCTCATGGATCGGCGCCGGGCCCCTCTGGGAGAGCCTCAAGTGCCGCCCCTGAGAGCCGACCCGACGAATCAGCGCGGACCTCCGAAAGTCCATCCCCAAAACAAGCATTGCACTGAGGGGTCTGTATTTGAGGTCGAAGGATCTGGGCCTGGGCGGCGGTCTGGCGGTTCCGTGCTCGCCGTCGCCGCCCCGTCGCCGCCTCGTCGCCGCCCGTCGTCTGGGCCTGGGTGGCGGTCTGGAGGTTCTGTGTTCCCCTTCGCCGCCGCGTCGACGCCGTCGCTGCCCAGTCGCCGCGTCGCATAGAGTCTCCGTACCAAAAACGAAACATGATCGACCACCCAGCCGGAGCTCGGGTTATCCCCACCCCGTGGGGATGTGCAATTTGCATAAGAATTCCCCTCAAAACATGCAAGGCAAGAACGCTCGTGCAACAACCCGTTGCAAAAATGGGACGAAGTGCGCACTCGCGCGTCGTCGCGCGCGCATGCCATCATCCTTCAGAAATCCTGAGTGTCGTCAGGATTTCGAAATCAGGTATCCCGAAAACATATACAAGAACAAACGGTGTGACATCAGTTCTATACATGTATATATATATATATATACACATGTGTGTGTGTGTTGAAAACTGCGTTCGCGCCCTTGCGAAAGTAAACCAAAAAACAGCGGTTCTGGAACACGTTCGTCAAATAGGAAATGAAAGAAACGCTATAACCAAAAACGTGTGGCGCACCGCGCGGATCGATTCCTTGGATCTGCGACGGACCCGGAGCGCGCCAGGGGCGGCGCCGGAGGCGCCGCCAAGGGGGGCCTGGCGCGGAGCCAAAAGATCCGCGCCGATCGCCAGAACGTTTATGTTTATTGTGTGTTGTATACAATACAATGAGTTTTTCGGGCCTCCACCTCTCACCCCTTCCCCCCTCCCCGACATTTCCTTTGGACATCGGGGGGGGCGGGGAGCAGCTGAAGCGCCGTCTGTATAACGTGTTATGCATGTGTTCTCCGTCTCAAGTTCTTTGTGGGCTCAAGCGTTCATGCCTATTTCGCTTGAGCTCGATTCAGTCGGCTCGACATCTCCTTCCCGCGCGGGCAGCGCGATATCTTCTGCTGGCTCGCCGTGGGAGCTGGTGGGCTCGGAGTGCGAGGAGCTCCCGGTCTTGCTTGCTGGGCAGGCGCTGAGCCTGCCAGAAGGCGGGGGTCGAATCCTCGCGACGGCGCGCTGCGGCGGGCCGCTCCTGGTGTTCCTCTGGACGCTCGTGACGGTGGTCCGCGACCCGCCGAGCCCCGAGGAGGAGCCGCTGGAGGGTGAGGAGTTCACGCCCGAGCGGGTGATGCCAGTCGAGGTATGGAGCAGGCGCTACTATCGCCGGAGCGCGACGGATGGCGTGGAGATCTTTCTTGTGCGACGGAAGACAGGAAATTGCTGGGCGGCCCTGTTGCCCGACCTATCAATGGGGACCATCACGATCACTGCGAAGACGACGGTCTTCGCCGACCCAGTGCCAGGCATCCGCTGGCAGGCTCTCCCAGCACTCAGCCAGGTGCAGAAGGACAGCTTCATGCAGCAGGCCACGGACGGACTGCGAGCAGGGACCATTCCACCTTTGGACTTGTACCGACCGGGACGTCAGGCTCAGCAGGCTGTCGCCGTCAACGTGGTCTATGCCGTGGCCAGTTCTGCGCGCTCTTCGCTGCGTACGGTGCGGTGGGCGCTGCGCTCGCCGTACCGGTTGCTGGGCTTGCTGGCGCTGGGCTTCGTGCTGTTCGAGGCTCTGAAGTACCTGGGGGTGGTGGACATGATCGTGGAGACCTGGCTCGCTTTCGTGAGTTGGATCGTGACTTGCAGGGGCACGCTCATCGAGTCGTCCGAGACAATCCAGGAGTGGGTGTCTTACGGTGGCGAGTGGTTGGAGTGGGCTCGAAAGCTCATGCCGCTGCGGCGCTGGGCGGCCTTGCTGCTGGCCCTCATCCTGCTCATGATCTGGGGAGCTCACGAGACGCAGGAGGCGGAGGAGGCAGGTCATTCATCAGTGGCCTCGTCCTCTGCATCGTCGGTGGTCGGAGACGTTGGAGGAGCCGCGGCCGTGGCGCCTCCGCTGCCGCCGCCGGTCGCGGCTCCGCCGCCCGCGGCGGCTCCGCCCGACGCCGCGCTCGTGGCCCAGTTGGACGACTTGGCCGAGTCCCAGAGAGCGATGGCAGCGGAGCTGAACGAGATCAGGATCGCCGAACGTGCGCGGGAGCTGAGGCGCTCGGCCATGGCGTCGTCGAGCGTGGACCGCGGTGCCGAGGCGGCGGCTGCCAACCAGCTGCAGATCCAGTCCATGCTGAGTCGCCTCGACGAGTTCGAGGCTCGCTTGCAGGGAGGTGCGGCGGCGGGGTCCCCTGCGGCAGCCGCGGCACCCTCTCCTGCCACCCCCGCGGGCGCGGCGGAGGGTCCCACCTCGCCTGCGCGCGCGGACGCGACGGTGCTGATGGAGACTCCGGACAAGCGTGCGGCCTCGGAGCCGGCCGAGGCGGTGTCCCTGGCCATCAAGCGGATGAGGTTCAAGGCTCAGATGCCGCAGCAGGTCTTCTTGGAGCAGCTGGAGGACTTCAAGGAGTACCCAGCGTCAGAGTGGGCGACCAAGATGCCCGAGGGCTACAGAGAGAGGATCGCCCCGGACGTGCTCTCGGAGGTCTACTCGACGGGGAAGACGGCGGAGGCGTGGGCGAGGGACTACATCCGGGACCGGGGCCTCACCGACTGCAACACCGCTCGGGAGATGATCGCGACCTTCGCGGCCGTGGACACCATGCTCATGACGGACCGCCAGAAGGGGCTCTTGAATCAGGTGAGCTTCGAGAGGCTGGTGCGAAAGGGTTACGCGCTGGTGAGGGCCTACCGCAACGTGCACTGCCGCGACGATTGGAGCAGGCCCAAGGACTCCAAGAGCTGGAAGTCCAAGGTCGACTGGGAGGCGGCGCGGCGCTTGGACCCGCAGCTGGCGGACGAGAGCACGATCAGGGTCATGAGTGCGGAGGAGGAGGTGAAGAAGGCCATGGGTCGGGACGCGCAGTTGATCAAGGCGCGCACGGACCTGGACGGCGGGGGTGCGAGCCCGCCGCGAGCCCCAGAGAACGCCATACGGGGCTGACTGGCGAAGGTCCGCCAGGAGCCCCTGCACGCGAGCGGCCTCGTCTCCGTGGCCGGTCAAGTTTTCTCTTCTACTTCTTGTTTTCGAGTCTGTGGGACTTCGGCAAGAGCGTCGGGTTCCAGCAGGTGATCTACTGCACGACGAATTGGGCTATTCATGTCGAGGAGGCGGGACATCCTGTCGGAGGTGGTGCTCATTCCACGACCGGAGAGGCCAACGTCGAGCTCACGGCGGGTGCTCTCACGCTGGCGGGAGGAGTTGGACATCGTGCAGCGGGCCAATCGGTGCTTGCTGGGACTTCGCCAGCTCTACCGTGGGACGTTTGGCGACGAGCTCTTGCATCCTGGGGAGATCTGGGGTCAGGGGCCACTGCCCAGCACCATGGACGGGGACCTCTCGAGGCGTGTGCTGGAGGAGGTACGTCGCCTACCACCGCCCCCCTCGACGCCCGAGCGAGGAGCCGCGATCCTGCGGCTGCGTCCCGCCGCTACGGCGGCGGAGAACCAATCCCGGTCGACCTATACCCAACGGTTGGCCGAGTTGCGGAGGAGGTGTGCTGGTGGACAGGTACGACTGCCAGACCGGGGCGAAACGTTTCCCGCCCATTGGGAGCGGGTCGCTCTTCCCCCTCCGGGCTCAATGCCGGTGAGCGCGAGGTCTGTGTCGCCGAGAGTGGCTCAGATGCTGGACGATTTCCGGAGGGAGATGCTGAAGGAGGACGGCGAGGAGTGCGTCAGGGCCGCGGAGGTGAAGAACTACGTGGACCCGCACTTCCGCCGAAAGAAGGACATGCTGATGCTGGCCAGGCGCATGGCTCTGGCCGGGATGTTGTGCCGCTGCGAGTCGAAGGTGGACGAGGTCGGGCTCTTCTGTGTGGTGAAGAAGGCCGAGATCGTGGACGGCGAGCCCTTGGTGTCGCTGCGCTTGGTGTTCGACCAGCGGCGCTCCAACTTACGATGGCGGTCGCCGCCGTGGTGTGCCATGGGCGGTGTCAGTGCCATGTCGTTCCTGGACGTGTCCGAAGAGATGACGGAGGAGGGCGCTCGGATGGTCTTTGGGACTGGCGACCTCCCCGACTTCTACTACACGTTGGACTTGGGCGAGGCGATCGCGCCCTACTTCGTGCTGCCTGGGGTCCGGGCTTCGGAGCTTCTCGACGTTCTCCCCTCGGACGCCTGCCTGAGTGGGTTGGGCGAGCACGTTGGTGTGCGGGTGGCGCTGATGGGCTTTTCTTGGGCCTGCTGGATGGCCTAGACGACCATGGAGGACCTGTTCAACTCTGGCCCCTCCCTGGGCATGCCCGCTCTCGCCGAGGAGCAGCGGCTGGCAGAAGGCGGTCCGCTGCCCCTGATCAGTCGAGAGGTTCCCGCGGCCCACTACGAGTACATCGACGACTTCGGCATCATCGGGGTGGACTACCCTCCCGTCGCCGACGCCGAGCCGCCCACGCAGGTCAGGGACATCTGGTTGGGAGCCAAGTACTTGGTGAACGCCGCGGGCTTCAATGTGCACAAGGACGACTGCTCGGGACAGGCTCGGATGATCGGCGGGGACTTTGTGGGCACCCGCCTCGCCCCGAACCAGGACAAGATGTGGCTGGCCGTGGCCGG